TTTTTGAGACAGAGTCTTGCTCTGTCACCAGGCTGGAGTGCAGTGGCGCAATCTCAGCTCACTGCAACCTCCACCTCGCGGATTCAAGCAATTCTCCTGCTTCAGTTTCCCGAGTAGCTGGGACTACAGGCGCACACCACCACGCCTGGCTAATTTTTGTATTTTTAGTAAAGACGGGGTTTCACCATGTTGGCCAGGATGGTCTCCATCTCTTGACCTTGTGATCCACCTGCCTCCGCCTCCCAAAGTTATTCTATTTTTTAAATATTTTTGTAGAGATACGGCCTATGTTGTCCAGGCAGGTCTCAAACTCCCGGCCTCAAAGCGATCCTCCTATTTCAGCCTGCTAAAGTGTATTACAGGCGTGAGTCATTGCACTCAGCCCGTTTTTTAAGTAACAGCTTGAATTACATAGTCCACGTACCACATAACTCACAATTTAAAATATGAAATTCAATGGTTTTTAGCAAGCTCACAGAATTGAGGATCACCATAATCGATTTTAGAACACTTTCATCACCCAAAAAGAAACCCCATGCCCATCAACAGCCACGTGCCATTTTCCCATGTGTGCCCATATCCCTAGACAACCGCTTAGTTGTTGCCTCTACAGATTTGCCTATTCTGGACATGTCTTTTTTTTTTTTTTTGAGATGGAATCTCACTCTGTTGCCTAGGCTGGAGTGTGGTGGTGTGAACTTGGCTCACTACAACCTCCGCCTCCCGGGTTCAAGCGATTCTCCTGCCACAGCCTTCTGAGTAGCTGGGAATACAGGCGTGTGCCACGACGCCTGGCTAATTTTTGAATTTTTAGTAGAAATGGGGAATTCACCTATTCTGGACATTTCATAAAAATGGAATCATGTGAGTTTTTTGTGCCTGGCTTCTACCACTTAGCATGTTTCAAGTTCATCTATGTTGTAGCACAAATCAGTGTTTCACTCCTTTCTACTGCTGAATAGTACTTCACGTATGGCTATATCACATTAATTCATTCATCAGTTGATAGGCATTTGGTTTATTACCACTATTTGGACATAATTAATAATGCTGCTGTGAACATTTACATACAAGTGTTTATATGGACATGGCTTCATTTCTCACTATTAAGGAATGAAATTGCTGAGTCATATGGTAACTCTACATCAAACCTTTGAGAAACTGCCATATGGTTTTCCATAGTGGCTGCACATTTTACATTTCTACCAACACCATATGACAGTTCCAATTTCCTCAGTCACATCCTTGCCAACATTTATTACCTGTTTTTTGGTTTTGGAGAAGGAGTTTCGCTGTTGCTGCCCAGGCCGGAGTGCAATGGTGCAATCTCAGCTCACCGCAACCTCTGCCTCCTGGGTTCAAGCGATTCTCCTGCCTCAGCCTCCAGAGTACCTGAGATTACAGGCACGCGCCACTATGCCTGGCTAATTTTGTATCTTTAGTAGAGATGGGGTTTCTCTGTGGTCAGGCTGGTCTCAAACTCCCGACCTCAGGTAATCTGCCTGCCTCTGCCTCCCAAAGTGCTGGGATTACAGGTGTGAGCCACTGTGCCTGGCCTTATCTGTTTTGTTTTTTTTTTCTTTTTTAAATGAAGGCCACTTTGTGGGTATAAAGTGATATCTCTTATTTTTTTTTCCTGACACGGAGTCGTGCTCTGTCATCCAGGCTGGAGTGCAGTGGCGCAATCTTGGCTCACAGCAACCTCTGCTTCCCAGGTTCAAGCAATTCTCCACCTCAGCCTCCTGAGTAGCTGGGATTACAGGTACCTGTCACCATGCCTGGCTAATTTTT